TTGGTGTGACCATTTTAATATTATACAAATTGTTACATATTCACATTGCCACTGCCACACTAAGTCTTTGCTGAAATGTATGACATTTGTGCCTAATTACTCATGGTCAATTAATGACCAGAGGCATAAGGCAAATTGCTTTCTGAACGTTGGCAATGGAACGTTGGCATCTGCACGTTAGTGCATTTGTTGCCCTCAACTTTATTTCATTCTTTACTCCTCCATTATTCTTGTAACCTATGTAACTCCTAACACCATTATCTTCCTATTCATTGCTAGGAAGACTTCATCTAGTATAAATAGTGGTGGTCTTCATTTGGTTTGTCACACACAACACACAAGAAAATATAGAGTGCATAAGGTTTGTCAAAAAGAGAGTTCTTATTAGTTGAAGGGAGGTGTTTCTTTTGTGGAGCTTTGGACTCAATTCTTGTCCAGAGTTGTTGAGTTATACTTTGTGAAGGCTATTGTATCCTGGAGGGGACAAGTCAAGAAGGACTACTGCTGGATCGGTGAAAACATTTACTGCAGTGGGCTTGAATCTCCTTAAAGAGAGCGAGATATCCGCGCCTCAGCCTGAAGAGATTTATTTCTTCATTTTTATTTTCAATTGTAATCTTGTATTTTAGTTATCTTGTAAGTTTTCACTAACAAGCACTTTTGGGGGAAAGAGCGATGACAAGTGACCGAAAATTTGGAGACAATCTTTTGTTGTCCCTGTTTGGGTAATGTGTGCCCATTCCTTGACAAATGATCCTAATGTGAAACCATCAGCTAGAATATGTGAAATATTTATCCCAATGACTAGTCCTCCACAATTGAATATGTTCACTTGGACTCTAAGTAGTAAACTTGATGGCAAATCAGTGTTCAAAAGCTCAATCTTGATGGAGAAACTCAGCAAGAGCCGCATTGACTTTGGATTCAACACACTTGGTCGTTGCAGTGAATAGAGGTGTCATCTTTATTAAATCTTCCAGCTAGAGGGTTAAAGTATCGGCTAAAGATTGTTGCAACTTGTCACATCTAATTTGATCAGTAATTCGTTCACTGTTTGGCAAGTAGTGGAACAATATATGAGGAGCACTCTAATCAAACAATGAAAGTTTGAGGGTCCGTAGATGATTTAGGGTAGGAGTTGAAGGCTTTACCATTTTCCTTAGCTGGATTTGAATATCTAAATCAGCCATTGAGATACCAAAAACAACAGAGAATTAAGAAATAAGTAGTAGTATTTGGAAATGATGGCAAGAGTTTACTTTTTCTCTTTTTGTTGATTTCGAGTGGTTTGTTTTTAAGGAGGGCTTAACGCACGTTTTAATTAAACATTGGTACAAGATGGCAACGCAGGTGTACTTTGAACCAATAATACATACACTAGGCGTTTCTGGCGGCATTTTGCAAACTTTGGTAAGCATTAGTTTATTGCTCTCAATTATCATTCATTATATCCATATCCATATAGTAACGATTTTTATTAGACTTACTAAATTTAATTAGGAGTATTATGTTTCCACATATTTCACAAAGGGATAATCAACGGAGAAATGATTTTGAACTTCTGATAGGATCTCTGACTCGTTCCAGCAAAGATACAATTTTTTTTAAAAAGTAACAAGTGTTGTTATATGGCTTTGATTTCTCGGCTCAGAGGATGGTAATAACACCCCACTACCGTCAAACGCAACTTGCAATTGCTTATATATCGTTAATTAATCAAATTAAGTTGCAATAGCTTAGGTCTTGAAATTAGATTGATTTGAAGTTGAAGAAATTTTATTTGGACATATAATTTGAATTTTTCAAGCGATATCTTTTTCTCCATAATTTGTGAGAACTATCAAAACTTCTTTGACTCATATGCAACCTTACCAAATGGACGAACCACAGTTAATAAACAAAGTACTGAAAGGCGTCCAATTAGTAAAAAGATTCACACGTCAAATAAAGCAATAATAGTAGTAATTAATTGTTCATTAATATAATCCCCTCACAAAATACCAACAATCTTCACTTTGACACAATTTTTTTTTCTTTTTACAAGATTTAAAATGACGGATCTTTATTTGCAAATAATAAACTTATGAGTCAAATTCTATATTTAAAAAAAATTGAAATCACTACTTGAAATTTGAAATTGAAGTTCTGTTCACATTTCATTAACAAATGCTAATTTCAATCAAATTTGAGCCCTAAATCCAATGGCCGTTACACTCTCGATAATTTCTTCGCAATAAACATTTACATTCTTACATTCAAGTCCTTGGTGAAACAACTCAGCTAGCTTTCCATCTACTTTTGTTTGCAAGCATTCAACACCATGGTCACTGCAATCAATAAAGAGAAAAACCTTGATCCTTGACAAGTCTTCCGGTAAGTGGATAAAACTTGGATGAAGGAAGTTCACCTTGGTCACCATAAACAAAGACGGTTTTACACATCAATTAATTAACGCCATATTTTCCATCATACGGTATTTACAGAAGAGCTCATGTCTGAATGCTTCAATCAATCACGGAGATGAATGACAGTTTCTTAATCTTGCCTCTCCTCTTCAGTATCATGCAAAAGAACACCTCGGACTCTGGCCCTGTAAACCGAGCAACTACTCATTGAAGTAACACTTTTAATATCGATGCAAGGATAAGTTGAATTAACTTACCTACGATGTGCTGGTACCACACGGTTAGTCACCTTAGTAGAGGGAAGTTGGGCTGCTTGCTTAACTGCAATTGGGTAAAGGATGAACGAATTAACAGATTAAATGCAGTAATATCTACAAGTAGACAATTAGCTGCAGCAACAGTGATTGTTAATGGTAAAATTAAAATCCATTTATACATGTCAGTGGACATCACATAAAGGATGTGAATTGTTCTCCTACAGAAGTACTCTACAGAATACTTAATAGAGAAGAAAAAATAGGACAATACAGGAAGTCTGGGATTGGCAAAAGGTATAGTCTGCAAATACATCCTAGGAGGAAAATTATCAAAAAAAGCCTTTGATACAGAAATTTTCAGAAACTTATTAATTGCACTATCAAGTTTCTTTCGTCTTTTCTCCGCATTAATAAACTAGCCAAGGCTTTGATCACTAATCTAAACTTGTTCAAACGATAGTTGAAGAATCGAAATTCAATCATGTACATGCCTCATTTCAACTTTCCACTTCAAAATGGATATATATTTTTAACTATACCTGGAGACTCTAGTGAGCTACTGACAGTTGCAGTATCTGAGGCTGTGTTTTCAGTAATCTTTTGTCTTTTAGAGTACAGAAGTGCATCGAGTTGCTTCTGCGCAGTTTCATTCTTTTCCTGCCAAGTAAACAAAACAACTAAAACAACATAATCGTACTCCTTACAGTCTAGCAACACTTCTTTACATCCCAAGTTCTGGTTGAGGATTTTACTTTCTGAGATTGTCATAAAATAACATGCATTTCCTACTATTGAATGCTTTACCACGTACAACAAATTTGTACATAAAAAAGGCTACATAGGAAGCAGTTTTTTGAACTACAAACCAACTCCCACACTTCTCAATCACTAACATCACATCAACCAACTACTTTTTTCTCAAGTTCCAGAGTTTGACAGGTTATGACCTGGTAAATACTGTGGTGGTGGGCAAGGAGACTACTCGTGTCTCTGTGCTTTTGATGATAGGGTGTGGTGCGCTACAAAGAATAGCAAGACGGATTGAGCAACAGTTTTTTTTTCCTAAGTGCAGTTAAGACAACACAGAGAATTATAATGGAGCTAACATCCTTCATCTATTGGATAGTGAGCACGATTTCATTTTTAAGAAAAAAAGGATAAACATGTTCAGTCAAATAGCGAGGATCAAGATGAAAAAGATTATTGTATAATACAGACCAAAAACCTCAAGTTCCCCATGAATAAATGAAATTGCATGAGATGGAACAAAGGAAAATAAAAACAAGCATTTATTCATTTGTAAAGCAACTAGCATAGACAAAGTCAAATTTCACAAAAGTTTAAGGCTGATTGAAAAAAGAATACCTTTTCTTCAGATAATACATTTATCAACTCACAGCATCGTTGTTGCTCTGCAAAGAAAGCAGCAAGAAAATGAAATGCACTCTCAAAAAGATAATGTATCGTTAGGCACATGAGGTCATCAAGAGTCAAAAGGAACTTGTAGAATTATTGGAGATTTGTTCACAAAACAAGGCAGAATAAGGAAAAAGTTGAGCATAGACGTGATAGCATATGAATAAGTTGAGGGTATAGTGCAAACTGCACCATTTTAGTAAATTCTTACATGAAGGTTCTAAGATTGAACGAATGCAGAGGTGTGCAATATGTTTACTTTTTTATGTTAGACCTATGCTA